AATGCAAGGAACACCTCACACCTCACTTTTTTAGGTTAAACTTTAGCGCAGCTCCTGGGCGGAAAAAATAAAAGGTCATTGAATGGAAAAAGTGACTCCTACCCTAGCAGCTCAGGTTTCAAGCCTGTGACCAGAGTAGCCTTCCTCTAAAAGCAAACAGTTCAGAGCTTCCCCTCCTGCTGCCCCAGGTGAGTGGAGGAGAGGTGAGGAGGGCTCAGGCTGCCAGCCTCCCCCACCTCCCCAAGCAGTGTGCCAAGGCATTCCCCACAGCTCAGAGGAAACTACCAAGGCTTGCCTGCTTGGCAAGCCAGAAAGCAAGGCTGGGAAGGAACCTTCCTACCAGCTGGCTGGTTGGGATTTTACCAGGACTATCTGAGAAGTTATAGCTGATACTCTTCAGCTATAGCCCTAAGGTGGTGACCTTGACAGCTTTAAAACAGCTTTAATACTCCCTGAAGGAGTTCTTCCCTCACAGAGGCAAACTGTCGATATCCAAGGGCCATGCGAACAAGAGCACCAGGTACACAACAGCAGGAGCATCTGGCAAGGACCCAAGACCACCTGCATCCTCCTCTTGCATGGCAAGCTGTGGATTCCTGCATCAGGATAGGAGGTTTCCTTGGTCTGTGCTCCATCCCTGCCTTAGTCTCCCCAGTAGAAAAAGCCTCCCAATGGCTGTGTGGGCCAGGTGGGTGCTGTGGGGCTGGCTATATAAACATGCACCAGAAGAAGCTCTGGGCTCGTGATGGAAAGGGCTAGAGGTTTTAATCCCCTCCTCTCCCCAAAACAACTGAGTCACAGGAATTTAGGCTCTATGAGGTGTACTGGGCCCCAACATTCTATAGCTGTGACAGCTAGTAGCCCTCACGTGAAACTCAGAGACTTAAAAACTTAGAGCTTTAAGACAAAAAAGTCCCCTGCCATTTCATGAACAAGCAGACCTCTCCACCAGCCTCCTGTCCCCTTGGGAAGGGCTTCAGAGACTTTTCTCATGCTCAGTTGCTTTGGCCAAGAGCCTTAAGTCCAACAACCTGACTAAGCCAAGGCTGTGTTTCACCTTGAAATCTCCCTTCTGTAACTTAAGAGGACTCAAAAATTCCCAGCCCAGGGAGTAGTGCAAACAACTGGGGGTGGGTTTCCGTGCCTGCTTTGTATTCCCCTCTGCTTTCCCCTGTAGAAAAGGCAGTTTGACACCTCCACCCCTGTCCCTACCTCTGCTGCAGGGGCATTGTGGCAGGCTATAGGAGTGCTGCAGGATGCCCAGAACAGGGCTCAGTACAGGCACCTGGGGCTGAAGCTGCCCACACACAGCCCATACTGAGCAACCCTGGCCGATCACGGCAGCCCTTTTTACCGCAGAGAGAGGGTGCAGAAACGCGTTTCGCTTTTGCAGAAGTCATATATAAACGGGTGGTTCAGTTGCTACACTCGGGGGCCACGTCTCCCTTCGACGTGACAGAGACCAAAACCAGCGTGACTGTGCCTGCTGTCACCCCCGCCACCCCCTCGGCGCTGCCGCGGGAGGAGAACCGGCTCTGTTCTCCCACAGCCACGGTGCAGAGGAGGCTATGGCGGGACAATGCCTCTCTCTATGCCTGTGCTAGCAATTCCCAGGCCCCGCGAGCTGACTCAGTGCAGCAGGCCCTGCCCTCCCCACCGAGGCTGGGAAGAAACAGGGGCACCAGTGTTACAGGTAGGAAGGGGGAGGCCGCGCAGGGCAAGCAGGCAGCACCATGAAAGGAGCCTTAGTCTGGGGCCTGCAGAGCAGCCAGGGAGCCGAGACGACAACTTGGCCACTGTTCCAGAGGGGCAGCTCTCGAACGCACCGTTCCGGAGCCAGGCTGGGCAGCAGCCCCTCCGCACGTGTCGCAAGGTTTGGGTCCTGGGCCAGAGGTCTGAAATAAATCCCTGCTCTCGGGCACACCTCTCACAGCCCGGCGGGCTGCGGCCTCAGACCCAAGCCCGAGGCTCAGAAATCCCCTGCCCCCCCGCTAGCAGCGTCTCAGAATGGTTTGGGTTGGAAGGGACCTAACGGATCACCCAGCTCCAAACCCCTGGCAGGGACAACTTCCACTAACTACACCAGGTTGCTCCAAGACCCATCCCAACTGGCCTGGCCCTCATGTCCTGCCCGTGCCCCGCAGCCGGCTCCAAGTGTCCTCACCACCAGGAACCCGGTGCCAGCTCTGCCCGGGGCTGCTCCCGGAGCCCTCGGCCCCGCGGGCAGGGCA